GTCCTGTTATTTTTTATAAGAAGATCTACTGAAAAGTTTTCATGACCATGGTTTTACTATTAAAGTTAGGTGGAAAGTGGTGATGTTCCTTTCTGCTAATTGATTTCATAGACATGTTATTTTCAGCAACAATAATTATGGCTTTATTCCAGACAGTAATTTTGGTGTGAGATGGAATTTTGAGTATGTAATACACAACTGAATCCAATTTCCCCTTCATATTACATAGTACGAGGGATACAACTAAACAAGATATTTACATTGATAGTAATGTCAGTTGGGTCCCCCTGGCTGAATGGTACACGAGCTTGCCTTGCAACCGGAAAGTCCTGGGTTCGAACCCGAGTGAGTGCGTACTGCCGATGGTGCCCGAATCAGGACGAAACAGCTGTCCAGTACTACCTGGTTTTAACGGTTCTCTAACAGATATCAATCCGTGGGCAAACTCCAGAAACAAACCTAATCCTTACAAATCAACTCTTGAAAAAAGGAATGTGAATGGAAAGTAAAAATAAGATAGAAATATTTAGAACACTATTTGAATGAAAGAAGTAATAAAAAGAGCCGTTTGCTGCGTTTCACAGTAAGTTAGTAGTATCATGCCCTACACTTTTCAACACATCAAATGCGTGCCATGCAAGGTACTGTGGAGTTTTTATTTTTAGTCATTCGAGGATTTACTCCCCTGTAGTTGCTTCTAGTTCTACCTGATGCGGTGTAAGGAGGCAGCTGTCTATAGACAGGATGCTTAGGGTCAGACAACATAATGTTTGAAAATTTCTCGCATGAGTTCAAGTGTCTTTCCACAAAAGTATTAACGAATTAATTTAACGGTACCCCCTTTCACAGTTTAATAAAGTTTCCCTTAGGCAGCCCCAGAATGATTAACAAGGAATAATAAAAAAGAATAGGTAGAATACAAGAATTAACAAACTGTAAAAGTAAAGACTGAGTGATTGTCTGAACTTCCTCACGTTGAATGAAACATACTTCTAGAGATTCATATGACGATTCGAGGAAGGAGATAATCCAAGGTAGTCAACATTCGACTTGGTTTCAACTTCGGTACCATCTTTGATGCAGGAATTATAGGAAAGAACCAGTTCATGTAAATCATGCTTGTGACTGAAAGTGAAATTAACAATTTGACATTCGAAGTGATTTAGATTAAGACAATTTTACAAGAGTAACTGACTTATTTCTTATAAAAACCTATACACTTTGGCACAATCTGACTGACATGTGACCAGAAGGAAAATAGTCAGATCATCAGTATACTTAACGAAATCTGCTTCATAAGAATGTGGTAAATCATTTAGGAGAAAAGAAAAGAAAAATAAATAACACCTTGAGTGACATTATTTAGAGCAATTAAAGCAGTTGAAGACTTCCTAATACATACAGTGTATCGCCTTCTATCAGAAAGGTAAGAATTCAATCATTTATTAATCCTCCATCCTGTTTGCAATCTAGGAAGGTACAGTGAACAAGTTTAACAACTCTCTCTAAGCTAGAGACAACCAGGCAAGAAGTAAGCACAACATCTTTGAAAAACAATGCATTAAAAATTCTAGCAAGAGGATGACGCAGAATATTCGCACAACTTCCAAGGATAATACCGGGCACGCCAAGTGTAATTAAGGATTGAATAGGTTAAAGGAATCGGGGATACTTGAGAACAACATATGCATTAAGACCAGAAATCATAATATCTATCAAGTGATACATGCAAAACTTATTAAGCCTACCAGCATCAAATGAAGGATCATTATTTATTTGGTTTCCACTAGTAATTCCCTTAAACAGTTTCTATGCGTTTGAATAAGTTCTGTATGATAAGAACTTCCGGTTATAGATTATATTTGATTTGTGTATTTCAGACTTGATTTAAATGTTAAGTGCAATTTTATTTTTTTTTTATTATGGCTTGACTCCACACCGTATTTTCGGTAGAAGTATGGAATTTTCAGCAAGTGATTCCGTGGGCCCAAATTTTGCAGGCCGACCACTGATAACAGGTGTGCGTTCGCAGGGGATCGAACCCTGAACCATGTGCTTGGTCAGCGAGAGTCGTAACCTCTGTGACACCGAAGCACCAGCATATTCTTTCATTTTATATGAACTTTGATTTTCTCGGTTAAACGTTTTTATTTGGGAGGAAAAAAGATGGTAAAAACTTAAGAGAATCTTTACTTTTAGGCAATAAACATTCAGACGGAACTTAGTATTGTTATTTAGAACTTTTTCTGTCAGTCAGTATCTTTTATCGTGCTTTTGAGATCCTGTATGTTGTGTTGAGAGTAATATCTATGTTGAGTCTTCTTGCTGAGGTTCAAGAATGCCATTCGGCGTAAATTTCGGGGTATTTCTGGTAATATTCATATAATGCACACTGATATCAGGTGAATACACTGATATTTTAAGGGATATACTAAAAATCATGACTATATGTTGTGACCTTTTTCAGTAACTCTTTTGTAAAGCCTTCTGTGTTTGAAGTAGCACACTAAAAATATTTAACTAACCGACTGAAAACGTTAATTTTCGAAAACCATAATCATTCACTTTAGATTTATTTAAAGAGTGGGCGATGACCATTTTCACTAAAAAACCTTGCCCTGTGAACATAGCATTCCATGCTGAAAAGAAATAATGAGTAAAGCGCAGGATTTGAATGGAGCAAGAACAACGATGGTTTGTGCAGAATAATATGGTACCATCCTTTAGTTCGTTGGCCTCTCATCAGTTGCTTACAGCCTAAATGAATTATGAGGTTTGTGTACAGGAAAGTTTTAACACACTTGCGAACCTTTAAATTCTAGTTGAATGAAGACAGGCTTTTTCAAATGTGATTTGTTTGATGTTTGAGGCTTCATATCTTCCATATTTGTTAATTAACCTTTGAGGATAACCATTGTTTCTCAACACCTTTTTGAGAAACGTAAATTCATCCTGAATTTTCTCTGGAGAGCATATTCTCCACACTCTATAGTACAGAGTCTTGACTAATACTCGTTTATAGCTATTTGGACAAAAACCATTTAAATATAAGTAATGTCCACTCCATGTTAGCTTTCGTGAAATTGACCTCTGGAGACTACCATCTTCTAGGCGGTGCATAGCAGTGTCGTGAAAATGGAACTTTCCATCATTCTCATGTACCAAAGTAACTGGATGTTTTTATTCCCTCATTTGATTACGTAATCTCTGGCTTTAAATTCACTCATTTGATACACTATAATTTTGCTTGTCTCTTGTTTCTATGATGTGAGTTGAAATCAGTACATCGTTATCTAATTTACTAGTCACTCAGCATCCTACGCACCTCTCAGCTTTATTGCGTAACTCCTTTACCATTACATGCATACATTAATTTTGTTTAAACTTGAACTGTCTGCATAAAAGTTATATAAGCGCAATTCTTCTGAGCACTATTCACTAATTGTGGAACCTTCTGTTAACTGACATCATGAAAAAAATTTGCAAGCATGTTAAAACTTTTCTCTACATAAAGCTCATAATTTTGTTTAGGCTGTAAGCTGCAGCTGATGAGAAGCCAACGAAATAAATGATGGTACCATATTATTCTGCACAAACCACCATTGTTTTTGCTTTATTCAAATTCGAACAAGGCATTAAGAAGACAAATTTCGCGAGATGATATCATTTCGTAGTTTCTTTACAACCACTTTACAACTAACATGGTTAACAATAATAAAATAAAGATCATGACAACTGCTCAGTTAAATATCAAAATAAAACTACATACTAATGACCAATCATATTTAGATAGGTCATGCAGTCCATGGTAGGCGAAGATTGAAGTCTATTGATGTTTGTACACACAGTTTAGGTTGTATGTGATTAATCTCGCAAAGTGCTTCCATCACATAAAGTATAGTTATATTTCAATAGTTTGCACACAATGATAAGTTTTGTCAATGGTAATAATTCAAGCTGGACAGCTGCTGTTTCATCCTAGTTTGGGAATCATCGGCAGTACGCACCCACTGGGATTCGAACCCGGGACCTTCCGGTTACAAGGCAAGCTCGTATACCATTCAGCCACTGGGACCCGATTCAATGGCTCGTGAATTCTAACTTCTACTAATTCGTGATTTAGCGCGACCCCAACCATTGTCGTTGGTGGGACATCCATCCACACACGTGACATCTAATTGGACCTCACTGATATCAATCCGTGATCAACCCGTAAAACATAACTAATCCTTACAAACCAAACTATAGAAAATAATTCAAGCGCCACTGTTCACACCACTGTTGGAATTGTTTTATGCTTCCATCACATTCAATAACCTTGAATTTGAGTTATGTGAAATAATTGTGAAACAGTCATTAATATTTATTTTGTGACCGGACATCAATAAGTGTTTTCCAATGGATGATTCTGGATTTCTATTCAGATTAATCGCGTTGGGATTTTCAATATGATTAAAGGACGAAATTCTGTGGACTCTACTTCAAACTGTATCTACAAGTTTACCTGCAGCTGCGGTGACACCTATATACGTAGGACTAACAGAATGTTCCAATGTCATCGAAAAGAACATATTCCAAAATGGCTAGTAAATCATATCGAAAATCCTAACGCGATTAATCTGAATAGAAATCCAGAATCATCCATTGGAAAACACTTATTAATGTCTGGTCACAAAATAAATATTGATGACTGTTTCACAATTATTTCACATAACTCTAATTCAAGGTTATTGAAGGTGATGGAATCGCTTTGGATTAATCACATACAGCCTAAACTGTGTGTACAAACATCAATAGACTTCAATCTTCGCCTACCATGGACTGCATGACCTATCGAAATATGATTGGTCATTAATATGTACTTTTATTTTGATATTTAACTGAGCAGTTGTCATGATCTTTATTTTATTATTGTTAACCATGTTAGTTGTAAAGTGGTTGTAAAGAAACTACGAAATGATACCATCTCGCGAAATTTGTCTTCTTAATGCCTTGTTCGAATTTATCAAAGGGACTAATTGTTTTAATTATTCAAATTCATCAAGGGAAATAAATGCAAAAAGTGCAGGAATTAATTCATATGGTGAACAAAATCCAAAGACAGGTTATTGCCTACAAGCATAATAACAATGGTTGGAGTCGATGAGAAACATTCAACCGGTTTACGTGAGAATACTGATGGACATAGTATACTTTATTCATATATAGAAATTAACATGTTTAACAATTTAAAAAAAAATTCACATAAATTTACTCAGATATTTTAGGATGATATAAATTAGCACAGTGGAAAGGAAACACATTGAGTTCCAACTAACGCTTGGTGATGAATTACATAAATTTTTTTTACAACAGTAAAATTTAGCAGCTGGAAATTCTGGTAATGCCTCACACGAATAGTAGCATGATCTTTCGACAAGTCTTTTCGGTTGGCTATAAATGGCTTTCTAGAAAGAAAAATAAAAACAACAAAATTATATGCGTATGTATCAATAAAAAACTGAAGATATTATTCTTAACCTGTACAATCACATATTGTCTGAGCAACAAAAAGAAATATTTCCAAGGTTGTGTTAATAGGATTGTAAATTTTAGATAATAAATTCCATTAATCGATTAGAAACTAAAATAAGGTTGATAAAGCAAGTTGAATGACGTTATCTAATTGACGCAGCTGAGTAGAGTTCAACTAAAATTATAAGTGAACAAAAGTCAAGTTAAGTCAATAAACTTCTTTTGTATGCAGATTCCAGAATTTAACACGAGAACAGGTCTTCCAGAATAGATTGAATCAGGATAACATGCAAACCTACAAAACAAATTCACAGTTGTCTACAGAATATGTGGGCATCTTGTTAAAAGAGTACTAATCAAGCTTCTTCAAACCATAGAAACATTTTTTTTGTTCAGCGAAGAAATTTCTTTACAACGACTTCATTTTCAAGCTGTACAGTCGTATTTATATTACAGAAAAAGGTTATTAAGTGGCACTAAATGATTGCTCAGTCAATATACATATATATGTGATAAGAATAACGATAATTATAATGTTATAAGGGGTAGAGTTGAAGTGAATATATTACAAAATTATTAAAGATTGTTCTATAAGTGAATTGATGTCAGAAATACCAAGTGTTGTCTAAAAATTTACAAAATTAGGAGTATGATTACGATAAGAATGAAGATGTGAAGTCAAGTGGAAAAAATTCAAGTGGTAAAATAAAATAAAAACTAGAAAGAACATTACTATGACCAAGATAAAGAAGGGGGTTTGACAAAACGTTTTTGAACACATAATTTAGGTTTCTGTTCATGCATAGCTAAAGCTTCGACCATGCATAAGTGAAAAAAAACATAAACTTTTGGATCGATTCGATTTTGCCATGTAGATAACTTTGAAACATGAATCATATGGTATAAGAATAAAACTTGTGCACTGTGGTAGAGTGTAATTCCATTATGGGTAAATTTTGTTTTGATAAAGTCTCACAGTGTTATACAGTAATGTTTACTGATGACGTTTCGAGCACAATTTATTGCTCATAATCATATCAAGGTATTCACAAGACTTCCTAAATTCATTTATATAGTTCCATTGTTTTTCACTTGATTTTCACTTCATTTAATTGGTATTAGTATTTTCCATATTTCAGGTATGAGTGATGACTCATTCTTATTGCATGTGTTGGGTGTAGACTCGATGAATAAGGATTCAGTAATCAACCACTCTCTCCACCTATCTAGATCCCACCCTATTGTGTGGTTGTGTGTTAGCGCATGCATTGCTATTGCTGAGCTTTTTTCTAAATTACTTATCTTTTCAGGGTCAACCATTCTTGCCTTAGCTAATTTCTTATGTTCTGACAATCTGACTACCCCTAATTTACTAGTTTGACCTATGTAGTTGACCTCACAGTCATTTCAGGGTATTTTGTGAATTATATTATTTTGTCTAATTGGGTCAACTGGGTCCTTCAACCTACACAGCTTGTCCCTGAGTGAGTTTGTAGGTTTAAATGCCACCCTAATTCCTGCTTTATTTAGAATCCTACGTAGGGTTTCAGATGTCCCCTCTTTATATGGTATAACTGTAGATGACTTATATTCTCTCTTATTTATAATATTATTACTAGTTTCACAATTATTTTTATTTTTTGTTTGGCCTTTTTCGATCTTCCTAATGAATTTTATAGGATAGTTATAGTTATAGGGTAGAATGAATCATATGAGGCTAAATAACCAGACTCTAACAGTTCTGCATTCGCCTTTCATTAACCAAACCGAATAGTGTTCAGCTACACGTTTTCGGGGAGTACGCTTACAGCGTCCAATATAATCAGTTCCACAAGAGCAGTTAAAAGAGTAAATGCACATAGATGTGGACAAAAGCGGTAATCTATCCTTGACGCATTGTCTAATCGTGTTTCGGCTGGTAAAAACTAGTTGCAAGTCAGCTGCAGGAAAAGTGAATTTAATACATTTAGATAAACGATTTTTAATCAATTCAAAAATGGTGTCACCTTTGAATGCAATGGCGATTTACATGTTAACTTCCCCAACCCCTTATTCAATCTCTACCCTATATTACCCCTTTCGGTAACTTAACTTTTGTCCAATTACAATTTTAGTTGAACTCTTTTGATGTGGTTTTGTTCTCTGATCTGGATGGTTAGTTTGCGAAGCTTTCATCACCTTACTGGGTGACATCTTCAGCGCATACTTCAATTTGAAGTCAAATTGAAGTATGCGCTGAAGATGTCACCCAGTAAGGTGATGAAAGCTTCGCAAACTAACCATCCAGATCAGAGAACAAAACCACATCAAAATCATCCACCTGAGCTACAAATCTTCTCTATAATATCTAGTTGAACTCTACCAAACCGCGTCAATTAGATAACGTCAGTCAACTTGCTTATTCAATCTTACTTTAGTTTCTAATGCATTAACGAAATTTGTTATCTAAAATTTACAAGCCTAATGACACAACCCTGGAAATATTCTTTTTTTGTTGCTAAGGTAATTTACTATTTATTTGTGTATATTCTATTGTACAGTTCGAGAATGATATCGCCGAATGAAGTAACTCCTTACTAAATGCCTTTTCATTTATATATGACTCAATGGGCATTTTTAAGTTGTTAAAATGGAAAATATAATGCTTCCACTATAAACTAAGACATACTGTCTTAAAAAGTTTTTAAAAAATTTTAAAGCTTAAAAGACTTCACAAAATAAACACTTCTACACAACTGCAAATGATTAAGGAAGGCCAGTTGGTAAACCGAATTAATCGTGGTACAGTATATGACTTAGAATCACAGTTGCAATATTAATGAATTCCTAACTGTTTTAGTGTAATCACGCCTAACTTTCTGCAAGTTTATCACATTTCAACAAACTGGTATTTTCTAGATCAGCAATAACTGGATGTGAATAAAAAGAGAGTTACTGAAGACTGCAGAATGTGGGATTCATCCCCAAAGTATGCTCACTTATGATCAAGCATTAATATACCCACCTTTAGATAAGGCAGTAAGAAGACGTAATTTGCCTGAATCGCGTAATGTATTTGCCCAACGCATTTCGAACAATTTGATCACACACGGAATTTTAATCGAATGAGTGAAGTTCAGAATCACATATCGCTTACATCTGTAGAAGAGGAAGATAACTGTTGATCTTTCCTAGACATACTGCTTGTCGACGGCTTGATGGGTCAATAAAAAGATCTATTTATAGAAAACCGACATGGATAGGACAGTATTTTAATTACCACAGTTTCTGCCCTGTTCGGTACAAAAGAGTCTTAGTAAGGTGCCTCTTCTGTAGAATCCGACGAATATGCACCGAAGACACACTTGATGAAGAAGAAAGAAAGCTGACACAAATTCTAGTTGATAAAAATTATTCATTATAAAAATTATTATTATTATTACGTCAGGAGATATAAAGTGGTCAGAACACCGAGAACCACTCTACAACTCACCCCTAAGAAAGACGTGTACATCAAGCTAACCTATATGGGGCACCATAGCAGCCAGACAACTAGACAAAGACTGAACGCTACTGTTAAAAAGACTTTTTATGCAGCTAATATCATAATAACTGAGAATATGAAGTCAATATATCTATCTAAGCCCTTCGAACATTTCAAAAATGATGTCACATCCGATGTTATTTACTAATTTCATCGTATGTGTGAACACACACATAGGGAGGCCTCATTGGTCTCTGCAAGTAAGGGCTTCAGAGCATATTACTAAATGGCTTCAAAAACAAATGGAATCTTCAGAACCCATTAATGGTCAGAACAGGAGACCTAACTCTTCTGTTGCGAGACAGTATAAAGACAGGACATAAAATTGACGTTAACAGATCTTTCAAACCTATCTGTACACCTATAAAGGTTTGTGGAAGCCCTAGCTGGCAATTAGGAAGTTTAAACCACATTTATGCGGTCAAAAACAATTGGTTATCACATTAAACCTTCGTTGGTAAGTTTTGTTTTGATACCGTGGCAGATGTACTATTACGTCTGCTATTTGGTTCCGTGGTCTTCATTGTTATTTTGACCCTTAAATATGTCCTTTTAACTTGACCTAAGTCTATTTTCTCACCTCTTAACTCTTTATTATTTGTGTAGACATCTATTTTCCTATGACAAGTCCGTATGTGATTAGATTGTTAGAAATGTGTTGCGCAAATACATAACACGATGACGTCTTCTTATTGCTTTATCTAAATTCATAAACGAAAAAATTGTTTTAAATACCCACCTTTGTCACAATAGGAAGACCATTTGCAAATTATCTGTTTTAATAGACTGAACGAGCTTATGTATATTAGTGACTTTACAAAGTCTATTACCTTTTATGCTAACACTAATTGTATAGGTGATTTTAAGTGAAACAAAGTTAGCATAACCTGTCAAAATTAAAAATGTTAAATATGGTGACATTTTTTAATGTTTATCAAGCAGAGGTATTCGCTCAAACTGAATGTTGTGGTATTCAGAAATCATACCACAGTAACGGGTGAATAAAATACCTCTATACATCAATATGTAGTACTTACCACGCAAACTGGGCAACCGCGTGATTTTCCTGTATTTTTATCAACTTTATCACAATCATTGCATTGATAACAGGTGAGATTATTTCCTAAAACTAATTAATAAACCAGAAAAAATGTTAGTCACTTCTGTTGAGATAGTAAAAGAGAGTCACTAAAATTCAAAAGTTCAAGTACATCACTTACGTGTTACACAATAAGTGAAAAGTAGTGAGGTGCGTTTGAAAAACATTCTTAAACACATTATTCAATTTTTGTCAATGAGCTTAGTGATGTTTTTTTACTCCAGTACTGATGAAAATGGATTTTCACATTTGTATCACTTATACATAATGAAGAAAATATCATTCAGAGGGGTTTCAGGACTTCTATATTTTTATAAACTAGTAGAAAGTTGTCATCATCTTAGCAATAAAGGATGACGCTCATGAGAAAATATCGGTCAGAAATGAATTAAAATTCAGTGAGCGCCTCAATACTGACAGGTAGATTATCGCTGTTTTGTTTCCCAGCTGTGAACAGTAGACTTTGGTATGTGTTTCCTGACTTAGATGTTAATTTTACTTCATAAGTCGTCTTTTATTGTGTTCCCATAAATGAAGAATGAGTAATTACCTGTCCAAGTTGACCTTACTGCGTATTTTTGAAAATAACTAAAGGCGGATTTGAATTCACTTCGCACTAGAATTTCTGGCTGGATTCTTATTAATAACGTTAAAGCATTCCCCTGAATTAACTATCTTATATAAATAAGTCTTGCTAGTCCGTGGCAACAGGCTTCATAGTTAAATACATTAAAATTGCTTCTTCGTTGTTTCATGATAGTGTAAGTGGATTATTACATTAGGAATGCATAGTCTTTACTAATATCCTAGTGGTATTCATTCCAACTGATGTATTTTGAGGATATACCGTATAGTCGTTCATTCTTACAGGTTGAGTCTTATAATCAGACTGCTATAGCCAGATAGACTAACTCATTATTTTTTCGATTATAGCTTGAAACCACACAATACTTTTGGTACAAGTATGGAATTTTCAGCATGTGCTTTCGTAGCCCAAATTTTGCAGACCGACACTGATATCAGGTGTGTGTCAGCAAGGGATCGAATCCCGAACCATGTGCATAGTCGGCAAGCCTCCTAACCACTGCGCCACCGGCGCAGATTCACTTTCCCTCCTTAGCCAGAGAAAGTGATCAGATAAACCAGATGAAAACATAAAAAATGTCAAAAAGCTTAATTTGAACCGTCAGTTAAAGAGTAGAAAAAGAAGAGTCTGCCGACGTGATAATAAAATATAGACTCTATATCTGGCAGTATCGTATATGATGTCCAGATGCATGGTCAACATATGAGATGTATTTCATATAAATAGTTGTATTTCATCGTAAATGTAGGTGATATAGATTCAATGTAAGTAGATAAAGACTTATACGTGGCTGTCGTGGCCCAGGTGGTCTAGTGGATAACGCTTTGGCGTTTGAAACTAAGGGCACTGGGTTCAAGCCCCGGTGGGAACATCATCACTCACTGGGAAATACAGGTACATCCAGATGACGAGTCACAAGTAAGACGAAATGCGCATCATGGATTCCACTGCTAGTCACTTCCCACAAATTAAGTTCTAATTAAATGCCCAGACATCGTCAAAGCACCTGCACAAGAAGCTTACATTTCAACCTGAGACCTAGCACTTCGGTCCAATCAATCGACGGGAAAATCTCAAATTCAATTATATTCTATTGTATTCCGTTTACAATATGTGGCGAATAAATTGAGATTACTTTCGATTTGAGTTTAACTGAGAGGTTTTAGTTAATTTTGAAAGTGTTTTAATTCCTTTTACTAGACGAGAATCCAACAGACCGAACAGCCTTCAGTAAACATATATTCAATGGAAAAAGACACTGATTGTATATTTACAAAATAATTCCTCAGTTACCCAACTTTGGCTTACCTGACAGGATTCCGAAGTTTACTAATAACAATCGAAATTTACACAAAGTTAGCATTAAAGGAAACTAGATTTACCGATAGTAACCACTTTTGATAAAATGAATCTCACCTTTTATATAGTTACGTATAACTCTTCTAGACGTGAAATGTACTAAAAAAGGTTATAGACTTATAGTCATAATGGCTTTCATCTTGTTAAAAAAACATGTATAAGCTAGTAAATGCATAATTGCAATCTTAGAGATACTGATTTTGCCACACGCGCTAAAACATGTATATTTGGTCTTTTTCAAACACGTTTAAAACAAAAGATTTGTAAAAAAAGTTGATTTAACTTACTTCTTCAAATGGATCTTTTAACAAAGATGTTAAAGGTAAGTAATATATGAATAATTCATGAAAAGTTTGCTTCATGTTGGAGATAATGAATGCTAAATTACTGACCATAACAAATAAATATACAATAGTTTTTACAAGTTACCAAGTGAAGATGCTGAAACAAGAGGAAGAAAACAATGAAACGTAATAGTATCAACTACCTAAGTATATTTAATGTGATATATATTTAAATGAAGAAACCAGTGAAAAGCTATGAATAAAAGCCATTAAAATCAGTTCGTGATATCATTTGATGTATCTTCCTTATTCATCAATGTACCATTTATGGAAACAGTAGACTTTGTATGCGAAGAACTTATAAGACGAGGCTTACCGGTGTAGGCATTCCTATATTTCTTTAAGAGAATAACTTCTTTTGAATCGCACGGTGAATATTCACTTTATGTTCAACAAAGAACTGTACTGTAGAACTGGTGTAGCAAGAGGGTCACTACTATGACCCATTCTTTGCAAAACTAGAGAATGGGTCTTTGAAAGATGTTCCTGATGAGCTAGAATTCTGCTCTCAATACATGGATGTAACAGTTTTGATTATGAAATATTAAGATCAAGCGAAGAACATGCTGAATAAATTTAACGAGGTTCATCGAGCAATACATTTTATTACTGAGAAAGAAAGAGACTCTAGTGTCTCATTTTTAGACTTCCTTATGACCAGAAGAGAGAATGACACAGTAAGAAGTGTACTTTGAAAATTTAAATCAACTGGTCAGTTTATTCATATTTTCAGTTTCATGCCCTCGAAATACAAAAGCAATCTAATAAAATGATTGGTCCATAGAACAAGAACAGTCTACTCTGATGAATACCTTGATAAACAGCGTATTATTATTAAAAAGTTGATGGATGAGAATGGTTACTCAGAAAATTTCATCGATATTTTTTTTTGATTTACAGCTTGATTCCACACTGTATTTTCGGTACAAGTATGGAATTTTCAGCATGGATATCCGTAGCCCAAATTTTTCAGGCCGACCATAGATATCAGATGTGCGTCGGTGCGGGCTCGAACCCCGGACCATGTGCATGGTTGGCGAGAGTCCTAACCCGTGTGCCACCGACCAAAAGTCAAGACAGACCAAAGTACTAACAGTTCCGAAAAAAGACTTGTTCTTACAATTTCAGTCGCTTGAGGATGACATCAGTGAGATATTAGCACAACGCCTAGAGAATCCGGTAAATAGAGCATTCAGTACTGTAGAATTATGATGTTTCTTCAAAACCAACCCTATTTTACATTCAGAAGTTAAAGATAAACTATCTAATTTCGTCTCTTCTGTATGCATCAATCAATTCGATTGCTCCGGTAAAGCTAGCTGCATAGGCCGTACAATTAGGCATATTTATCGTTGGATCGCCGAACACCATCCAGCATGGTGATGAAGTATGGGAGAAGAAAAGTGAATTCGTATTTCTGTACTGTTTCATCTCGTGGATACATAACACGAAACTGATGTAAACAAGGTCTTCAAAATCATATACCATATACCAACTAAGCTTAATTCTACTTCAAGAGTTCGGCTATTACATATTACTTAGACTGGCTGTTGGGATCCACATTCAGAAGCCTAATGTGTATATCCAAATGAAATTGGTTCAGATACTTTTCTTACTATAGCCATCAAGGTTTTAGTGATTCTTAATTTGTAATAGGGATTTCCTTTATTTTATTTGACATTCCGTTAACTATTACATCTTTGTGCTTACTATAACTTATGCATATTTCTTGAACTGTAGTTTCCTCTGATCTTAAGAAAACAAAATGATTGTGTGAAGAAATACTAATTTTTCAATGAGATCCGCGTGTCTGGCTCTACTCTAACATATACAGCATTCTTATTACAATATACAACAATATACCAGTCAAGTGGCGATATGTTTGTTAACAATAATTAATCAATGTCAACATGTCACGGGTTTGACAATAACCAAGATAGATAATTCAAACAACTAAAGGGTAGAAATGATTACAACAATGACAACAAGTAATTAAAAATGAAGTAGTTAGAAAAATAATAAAACAGTCTGGTCAATTATAATTTTTAAAGATTCAGAGGCATAGTGGCCCAGTTTATAGATTCATGTAATGGTTGCCAACGTAAGGAAAGTGGCTGTATACATTTCTTCTGAACACACAGGTGTGGCTTTTTCAGGTGAATTCCTATAGCTTCAGCTGTATGCAAAATATGAACTGTTAAAGTGAAATTAAGCTTAGAATGAATGTGATAAATAATTTCATATGCTGTATGTACATCAACTTTATGCTCACTATCTACAAGGCATGCTAAAACAGAGCTATGAATAGATCTTATTCGTCCCTTGCTTAACCCTGTCGGATGATGGTTAGAAATACGATGATTTAATAAAAATGCTGAATACATGTAAGCAGAGCCAGAGATGAGGATCCAATTGAAAAGTAATTATTTTTTTCCTCAATCCTTTTGCCTTCTAAATGTCTAAATGAGGATTTTTCAGTTTCATTGATTTTAACAAACCGATAGTACTCAAAAGAAACAATATTGTTAACGATGATTCTTCTAGAATATTCGGTATATATATACATATATATATTTAATTGTAGAGCCAGAATAGGAAATTTTCAAGAGGAGCATTCTTTCCTTAAATTCACTTTTGTCTTCTAAATGTCTGAATGAATATTTTCACCAAACAGTCAAACAGCTGTGCCTACAAGGACTTCAAGGTGAAGTTGTATTTTGAGGCTACTGTGTGTTCCATATTTCTTATAAAATATATGCGGATACATCCAGATAACCAGTACCAAACGGGTAGAAATATGCGTCTTGTACTCCACTGCTAAGCTTGTGGTTGGCATTAAGTGAGGATTAATAAACCAAAAATAGATTTAAGACTCTGATTTATTTTTTCTGAGAAAACTGACTCGTTGAAAACATCTCACTACGGATCGTCAAGTTAAATCATTCACTTTAGTTGTAGCACAAATAATGACGAAATCCCCTGATCAAGCAAACGTCAGATTGACTTGACTAAGGTAATAACACACCACTAATTGTGTATCTGTACTAGATACACAGACAACTCCATCAGAGGAAGAAATTTGAAATTTACCGGATACCAACAAATCTCAACTCCGCCTTAAGAGTTCGATTACTAAATATTGCTGAGGCTGTTGGGATCCACATTAAAAAGCCGAATTTGTGCGTCCAAAAGTAGTTAGTTCAGACGCTCTCCTTACCTTGGCCATCTAGGTGTGAATGATTCTCAATTTTTGTGGAAGTTTCCTAATTTTGGTTGATATTCTACTCGCTATTATATTTTTCTTACTATTATAATTTAAGTATTTTTAGTGAACTGTAATTGCATTGATCATACTTTACAAATCGATATTATTTAGAAAACACTAATATTGTTATTAATAACTATCAACCTTGAATATTCTGTGTATATAAACATGTATATAATTGTAGAGCCAGAAGAGGAATTTATTGAAAAGAATATTCTTTGATCGATTATTTTTTGTTTTATAGATTTGAAAGAGGTTACTTCCTTTAGTGATCTAGGAAGCATCATTTCAACCACAGGTGGATAGCCCGGATGAAGTTAGCAAAGCAGGACTGAATCGGAAGGACGAGATACGCCTTCAGCAACCATAAACCAGTTTGGAAATCTGTACTGCACTAATCCAGCAAAAGTCACAAGATTCGAATTTTCGACACAGACATGAAGTCGGTGAGTGCTTGCAATATGAATCAGAAACTTGATGTGTAACAAAAAGGATTTTCAACAAGTTATAGACTATCATCAACAGTTGCCTTCGATAGCTGCATGCTGAAGATCAAATGGCCAGCTGGTTACAAAGAATCAGCAACCAGAAACTATGGAAAAAATTAACAAAGAGCCGAATGCTCAACAAGTATGTAGGAGAAAATGGAGATAGATCGGGCATACATTGAGGAGGACATTGAATGACATCGCGCGCAATGCAGGCCATCACTCGATTGGAACTACGATAGGAAGTGACGAGTTGGTCATCGGTGCGAGGGTGACATGGAAGGGATTATGTGGCGGAGAAGAGATAAAGGATAATGGTCAATCGTGAACCCAGCTGAAGAGGACAGAAGAAAAACGGAGGAAGTGGAAGTGTGTTGTTGAAGCCCTATGTTCCACTTGGAACCCAAGGAAAGAATCATAATCAAAGCTGTGTATCTGCCTATACTAAATATGAAAGCAATTTAGAGAATATGATACATTAAGAATCACTGTACTTCAGATATGTTTTGTTTGTTTCCTTTATTAGAAAGTGTATTATGTTGATAATAAAAACTGATCAATTCAAGTATGAAGTAAACTCTGTGATGCCATGACGCAGAAGGGTATTTGTCACATCTGCAAAAAAATCAATTATGCCTAATAAATTTGAAACAATAACAAAAAGTCATATGTTGCGTTGAATAGCGTCTCTTACTTAGTATTTCATTTTGCTTTTAGAATTAAATTCTGATTATTTTGTTAACAGAAATTATTAAGCTGAGAAAAAGAAGTTTTATTCCATCTAGAAAAGCTCATAGCTTCAATTACTCATATCAGACAAACACGTTCAGAATAGGTATAAATATTGTAATAATAATGAAGTCGAGAGATAAATTAGCATTATCTACATTTATGTAATTTCTTTCATTAGATATACAGTTGGTTAACGAAGGTGAGACTACTCAAACTGTATATTTCGTACCAGTGCTCAATG